AAATTGTTCATAGATTAATAAAAAACAATTGAAAATTAATTATAATTAGTATTATTTTATTTCAAATCCTGTGTTACTTATAATGGGATTGCTTAAGTTAACAACTCCACAAACAATACACATTATTTTATCTATTTGGCTTAAATTTACCCATGCAACTTTGTGTTGAAAAATCTTGAAAATTTTTATCCTTTGGATTGTTCTCTCAATGTGTACCCTGGCTCTTGCTATTTCACAGTTCACAATGCCATCATCAGAACTCAATTGTTTTTGTTTCCCTAAGAAAGGTGGCCTATGCAATTTGACTCCTCGATCAGTACACTCTTTATCGATAAGGAATCCTTTGTCAACCATTATAGAGTCACCTTCTTCACATTTATTTAATATTCCACTGTCATTAAAAATAAATTTGTYACTTGCTCTTCCGCCATATACAGGACTCAAAAATGATACTAACCCATCTGGTGATATCCCAATCATGCACTTAATGGTATGATTACCTTTATAATGTGAATATGTACGTATTCTGCAGGTTAGACATTTAGGTCGTTCAACAGTGGTTTCTGTGCAATCTAACACAACTCTAGWATCCATGAAATTAAGAAAACATTTGGGAATGTTTCTTTTGTTTAGTTGTTTAGACGACCAAAGTATTGATGGCTTCAAGACTAAATACAGTAAATCAACAGTAGCAATAAAATAATTTTTGCAACTCACAGCAGATATTCCAAATAACACAGCAAGACAATTGTATGACATATTCAATTTCAATTTAGTCAATGTGAGAAAAATACGTTTTCTGGTATCTATGCTAAAACTGACTGTATAGTTAAGTTTCATTAACACTCTGTCTGAAATTGTCACCAGTTTATCTAATAGAGATAGGTTCATGAGACCAGTGAACGAATTTAAATCAGAATCTGATTGAAGTAAATCCATAATTGTATTTTTTGAGATGGAATACAGATCCAACAAATCTACTTGAATTCCTTTATCTTCTGTTACTAGTTTAGAATTAGTAAGCTCTAACTTGCAACCATTATGTTTTTTATTTTCTGGTATTTTCATGGATGTCGAAAATATTAAATCA